CTGGGAAAAATTCAGTAGTGAGTGCAACTAAGCTGTTAGTATACAGTAGATTATTTGTACTTGTATCTATATTTTCTAGTGTATAATAGATGTTATAGAAAAATAATGTTTTTGCAGCAAATAATGATATGAGAAATGCTAAGTGTAAAGTGAAATCTTGGGATGTATTCCCTTAGAAAATTTGGATGCATTCAAAAGAAAATGGGTAATATTTATATGTGGTATGAAGCATACGATCCAACTCTTACCAGTATGGTTAAATATATTAAGTTCTGTGTTAGGTATATCTGTCTGTAAAAATAAGAGGTATTTCAAAATGTTAACAATTCTTATTTTGGGAGGAAGAAGCTCACTTTGTAACCCAGACTGGTCTCAAACTCATAATAATCTTTCAGCCTTAGCCTCCCAAGTGCTAGGATTACAGGTGTATGCTGCCACACTAGTCTGTTAAACTGGTTTTTAGCTCCATGTCATTAGAAACTTTTTAAAGTGTCTGCCACTTGCTATTTCCTCAGTAACAGTCATGGCCAGATACATAGGATGGTGTTACCTACCATTTATAACCATTACATTGTGACAAAGGATCAGAGAGAAGTCTCAGGAGTTGTAGATTCCCTGTCATCTAGGTGGTGGGAATGACCTTTATAATGTGTATTTAAAAATCTGCTTTTCTCATGGTTCATCTCTCTAAGAAGGGAAGGGATTCATTTCTTCATTTACCAAATGTTTGTTAGATACCTGTTAAATGCCAAACAAGATTGATCAGGAGGGTTATTGCTTTCTTGGTACTTTCTACTGGTCAAAGATCATCAATAAGAAAATAGGAAAGTGGTAACATATCAAAGAGAGATGTGTTGGGAGATTACAGAAGAGGGTTTGATGTGAATTGAGTGGACAGGGTCAGAAGAAGACTACTATGGAGGTTTTTGAAGTAAGACCCAAGTGACAAGAGACTGCCTTCACAATATTTGGAGACAGTGGAAGCAGTATAGGCAAAAGCTCCATGGCACCTTCTGGAAACAGGGAAAAGGCCAGGGTGGGTGAAATGTAGTGAGTCAGAGGGCAAAATGGTTAAGAGAGGAAAGAGGAGGTAGGCAGAATTGGATCATAAGGGTACTCCAGGCTTTAGTAAAGTTTGAATTTTACACTAAATTTAGAAGGAAGCTGTCGAATGGCATTAAACAAGAAAGTTGCACGTTCTAAGTTGTTTTTAAATGGTTACCTTGGGGCTGGGGATTTAGCTCAGCCGCATAAGCGCCTGCCTTGCAAGTGTGCGGTCGTGAGTTCGATCTCTGGTACCAATAAAAAAGAAAAAGACCAAAAAAAAAAAAAGGTTACCTTGAAAGTACAATGGAAAATCATTGTAAGGGATCAGGAATGGGAGTGGCGAAACCAGTAAAAAGTTCCTTACAATGCCCCAGTGGTGGCTAGAGTAGAAACACAGAGGAAGGAGAGAGGCACAATGCCAGGCGAGAGGTCTATTTGCAAGTAGAGCCAGTTAATTTGGCTGAGTGTTACATACAGGAAACTGCAGGGAAGGGGAATCAAAAATGTCTTCTAGGACTTTGATTTGAACACCTGAGAAGAAGATGTTTCCGTTTATAAATAACTTGGGAAAGATGATAGAACATTCTGATTTTGAAATACTGTGATACTGTTGTTTGAACTGTGAGTTGAATGTCCAGGAGGCAGTTAGGACCAAGGTGAAGAGGCTGGAATGAAGGTCCGTATCAAAGGTCATTTGTAGGTCACTAATGTATAGATACAGTAGTTAAAGCCAAGAGACTGCCTCAAATTGCAAAGTGAGGAGTAGAGGTAATGAGGGTTGAGTCTTGAGACCTCTAGAGAAGGACCTTGGCAGTCACGGAGGACCTTGTAAAGGTGGTTGAAAGGGAAGAGGTAGTTGGCAGGAAAATCAGGGAGGGGGAAGGTAGGCTTCATCTAAGACTTGTGACGGACAGGTAGTGAAGGTGTTTCAGAGGGAAGGTAGGTCTGGCTGAGGGGGGCTGAGAAGAGAGAAAATGAGATCAGACACATAACCCTTGTGTATTACAACAAATCACTGCCAACTTGGTGGCTTAGAATAACAAATTTATTTTGTCAAAATTTTGGAGGCTAGAAGTCCAGAATCCCATTTTTTTTGTGCATACTACACACACAGACAACTCTGTCACCTGTCCTGGGACTCCCAGGTTGATCAGAACACCTGTATGTAGGTACTCACTTTCACTGCTCAACGTGAGAAAGGAGAAAAGTTCACGGAAATCTCTGCCAGGTCCTTTGCTTTTGGTGTGGATGACAATGTGTCATCCATAGCCATAGTTCAGCAGGGGCTGTTATTTCTGTGGCCAAAAAGCTGTCTTATTTTAGATTTAAAACGTGTTTTGATTTATAGTATCACCTGCAGTACATTATTTCTTTGATAACCATATTGATAGCTGTGTTGCTGAAAAAAATCTTACAATGTGGAATGGATGTCATTTAGGTAATAATGTAGGTGTGGTTGGCAATTTAAATACATACACTGTGTGAAGAGAGATTCAAGAGACTCCAAAAAATGTGCCTTTCCCTCCAGAGTTTTTCTTACCAGCTTTGTGAAATAACAAATGTTAACATGGGCTCACGTGGAGTTGAGCTGCTCTGTTGTTCCCTGTACCAAGGCTTTCCATGATCCCTATGGGATGTGGCAAGATACCACATCCTCTTCTGCCTTTGGGAATCCTGCATGGACCAGAACTAGTAGACACGCCGGGGAGGTCCCTGCTTGTCTACTGGACACGCCAAGCCACCCGGGAATCCTTTGGAACTGAAATGGTTGGGAGTACAGGAGAGAGAGAGAGAGAGAGAGAGAGAGAGAGAGGGAGAGGGAGAGAGAGAGAGAGAGAGTGTGTGTGTGTGTGTGTGTGAATGTGGAGGAAAGGCTGGGACAGAGCTGTAGTACCGATGGGCAGCTTTACTTTGGAGGGGGCTGACGCTGTCATCATAGCTCCGCTCTTTAGTCCCGAGACCATTCTTACAGACTATCAGTGTATCAGCTTGGGGTTGTTGTGTGCCCCTCAGTTTCTGTATTAAAGGGGAAGAGGCCTTTATATGACAGTGTGAAAAGAGCACAGGCTTTCGCATAGATCAGATTTGTTCATTTACCATTTCTGTAATTTTTGGCAGGTATGGCAAATTGATACCCATTTGGGGTCTCTTGTTTCCTCATTCTTTTTCTCTGTCTTTTTTTTTTTTTTTTTTTTCCCGTTTTTATCGGTACCAGGGATCGAACTCACGACTGCCTGCTTCCAAGGCAGGCGCTTATGCCGCTGAGCTAAATCCCCAGCCCTTGTTTCCTCATTCTTAAAAATAGTTGAAGGCAACTGGTATTATGCTTACCACATAGCAGACATGTAGTCTTATTTGCCAGTGGTAATATATCTTTTTATTTGCTTAATCATTTTTATTCATATTGTTACTTGATTTTCTTCATTGCCCTTGATGTGTTCATTGTAAGCAGAATTCTGAAGGAATATCTACTTGTTGACATAGCAGCACCTTTGAGAAAGAGAAATAGATCCTCTTTCTACTACCTTGCCACTCTGCGACAATTACTGTTAGGTCTTAGATTCCACCATGTTGGAAAATAATCTTAGTCACCAGATAATACTTCTAAGGGAAGTTTTCTTTAATTATAAGTTTTAGTAAAAAGGAGGCTTTTTTTCGTGCGTGTGTGTGTGTGTGTGTGTGTGTGTGTGTGTGTGTTTATGTTTGTAGTGGTCAAAGGCACAGATATGGGGAGGAGTTGCTGAGGGATGAAGCTACAAATATGTCAGCTTTCCAATAGGAGTTTTCTAGGGTTTTGGGCAGAGGAGTTACAATAGAAGACGAGGAAAAGAAACCAGAGGGGAAACCTGACAAACAGTTCTCTATTGTGTAGTCCCTGGGCTGCTGTGTTGTGAGCAAGATGGCAGGGCGCCCTTTGCTGTTAAGGTTGGGTATTCCTCTGTAGTTCTCCTGCTGTGTGGCCTTGGGCAAACTGCTCACCTGTCAGAGGGGGATGAGATTTCATTCATTCTAAGACCTTTCAGCTAAACATCTTGGAAGAGATGGGGGAACATTTCCTCATTAAATTATTCATCACTTGTGGGCATTTGTAGTGTCTTCCGGTTACAGAAATGGTAATGAGATTTTTAAATGCAGTTTGAAATAAAGGTAATATGGTAATACTTATCTTAGGGATCTTGGGAAGATTAATAAGATAATGTATGTTAAATGTCCATTCAAGTTAGCATTCAGTGAATGTAGCTATTATTAACAGATGAAAGACATGAAAAATAACTTGAGAACATCTCAAAGAATTTTAAATAACAAGATCATAATGTGAACAGGATCTGAAACAGGACTACAGTGAGAGGAGAGATGAGGTAAAAATGTAAGTGATGATACAGTGATTAGATACGTATGTATATGAGAAATTGGTACCTCTTTACAGACAAAGTATTCATCGTCTTAGATAACTGTATAGCATAGATTTCAGTGTAAATGCGAATGTGGTCATCATGTGGACTACATTGACTTCTGTGCCAGCTTCTGGTCATGAACTTCCTGAACTTCCTGAGCTGTTAATCATGTTAAACAGAATAAACATTGGTTAACTCATAGACAATAAATTTAAAAAAGCACACCTTGGGGCAACTTAGTGAGACCTTATCTCAAAAAAAGAATAAAGGGCTCAGCATATATGTAACACAATGATATAGTACTTGCTTAGCATATCTGAGGCTCTGGGCTCAATCTGTAGCATTGAGAAAACAACAAAACTGTTGTGTTTTAGTTTTGTTGTTTTTTATGCATGGGGTGGAACAGGGTGGATAGCTAGTCAGGAACTTGTTACTAGTTCATTAGTTCAGTTATTGGCTAGGAAGTTCTTTGCCTACATTTAAAAAAAATTCATGTTTTTATTTGAGTAACATGGAATTTTTAGCTCTTTTTTCTTTCTTTTCTTTTTTTTGTCCCAGGTCCAGCAAGACTATGAATCTCTGTTCCAAATGCTTTGCTGGTAAGTGCAGAAAAGGGTTTAAAAATATGTTATTTTTCTTCTTTTGGTTTTTAAGATTATTGAAATTATTTGACTCTGTTGATTGGTGCACAGGAGTTTGGTTTCTCAGCATTGTCAACCAGTTTCTCCTTACTAAGGTGCTATGTATGTTTGCCTAGGTGTATTTGTACCAAAGAAACTTACCTTAGTTTGCTGTTGTTAGTATATGATGGAATTACAAAATGTATTTTAGAATACTAAAATACTTACTTCACAATACTTATCTCTGATCTTGACTTGCATGATTGGTGGTGAATGTTGTGTTTCTGATGCAGCTACACAGAGTATTTTCATTGATGTCAGGAAGCGAATCCCACTGAGTTAGCTCCTTTTAATCATATCTATTCCTTGCAGTCACCTTCAGTCTCAAGTCACTTAACTTCGTAGATCTATCATTTGTGAAATGAAGGACAGGGACTTGATGTTTGCCAGGGGTCTTTTCTAGCCCCAAAATGCTGTTGCTGCTATTCCTCTTCCTCCTCTCCCCCTTCTACTACTCAAAAACTTGGTGTCTTCGATTTTATAAATCTTTACTAATTAGGATACATTTAACTTTCCTTCTTTATTCACTTTGTCAGAGGTAAACAAATTTAGACACAGCTTAAAACAGTGAGGACAGATTTTAATCAGAAAAGTCTAGTAGAGAGTCTAGTAGTTTAGCTTGCACAGAGGTGGTGGGCCTTTTAAAGGGGGAGTCTGAAGGGGTAGAGGGAGGGGTTGAACAGAGGCTCGGTGTAGTCAGAAATGCAAGCATTGCAGGGAGTCAGCAAAACATTCTGATCATACCAATTGTGTCCGTTAACTGGCAGTTATTAAAGTTAGGATTCCATTTTCTTACATTGATAGAAGATAGAGATCTGATCGTTCTTGATGATTACATTTAAAGAATGGCTTTCAGTTCCTTGAAAGAGACATGCCAGAGTTATAGGGGGAAAAAAATCAATCAGTCTCAAAGGGAGAGAGGAATGATTCAAACAATCCATTTTTAGTAAACAGTCAAAAGAAGATGATTAGGGGCTAGACTAATCATGTAGCCATCTAGTGTTGATTGGAACCAGTAGTAAATTCTTATGGCAGCCTTAAATTTAAAGAGGAAGACAATTTAAGAGGGGGAAGGGTCGTCCTAGGGCTATAGCCTTTTATATCAGAAATTTTACTGTGTATGCAGGAGAGAGTGAATGAAGTCATTTGTTGAGTGTCTTTAGTTTTTCCAGGTTGAGGCCTGGTCAAGAGAAGGGCTCAATTATTTTGTCTCTGATAAAATATTCTGCTAAATGGTGAGTACGTTTCCCTGCCCCAGTGACCACCATTACATTAGCTGGTTGCAAACTGTCTACTAAACAGTAGTGTTACTTATGATGATATTGTTAGAATGAGCAATGCCAGTGTCAGACATTTTTATGTATGTAGAAGAGGAACCAACTTGGCTGGATTTGCTAAAGGCTTGCTCACAACTCAACCAAAATTCTTCTCTTTGAGAAAATACCACTTTTACTTTCATTTGTTTGACATCCTTCTTATCATGAACCCTAATGTGGGTGGCCTCTGTTACTTTTAAAAGAGGAAATTATTTAAGATAGTTCTGTCACAAATGTATGGAATGCTTGTTTCCTTTTTTCTTTCTTTCTTTTTGGTACTGGGAATTGAACTCACTATGTTGCACTTGCCAGGCAGTCGCTTGTACCGCAGAGCTAAATGCCTGGCCAAATGCTGGTTTCTTAGCCTTAAAGTTCCTTTGACCTGAAGACTTGTCACCCAAGGTTTTCTGTGCCAAGATCTGTAGGATACTTAAAGGAGATACTCTAGGAGAGCACTGGGAAGTGATTGATGTTAGTATTTCGGTTTGTGGTAGAATAGATTTAAAAATGCTTCTCTAGATTCTCTTTTTATGAGAGTATTAGTCGTAAAGAAAGGATTAATTTCTTCTTTTTCATGAAACTTTTAGCTCATTAACCTTGCTCTCTGCACTAGATTGTGAAGCACCATTTCTAATTTAGTCTTCTGTATTTAGCTTCTCAAGATTTAAAAAAAAATGTTTGGAAGTGTGATTTAATTGCGGGTTTGTTTGCACATTGTCAGTGGGAAGGTGAAGGTGTTTCATATTTAGAAGGTGCAGTCTGTAGGTTTCATTTGTTAAGTCTTGCTGGTATTCCCATTCTCTCATGCTTTGTGCATAATAGTGTTGAAAAGAGTTGTTTTATTGTATTCATATTTAGCAGTTTGGTAGTTATGGAAAAGCCTGTCCTCTGTCTTGTGTATTTGTTCATTTGGAAACCTTGTATAGTGTATAGAGATAATAGTGATTTGTTCCCTAGCCTCCCTGTGGATTTTGTTCCATATTACAGTCTAATTCTACCACCTTGTCCCATATTCCTGAGCCCTTAATTTGTACATTTCAATGCAGTTTGTTTCATCCTGTGTTTTTGTAATCCAAACTGAATGTAACGAGCTATGTGCTTTAGGGACCTGGTTTTGCCTTGCCAATTAGAACAGAGTGGTTACCGAGAAGGAGTATGTTTTAAATAAAACATGGCTCCGCTTAGTGGGACTGACACTCTTTTGGGAATAAGAAGATAAGGTTTTAACTCTGACTTGTAAAGATCCTTTACTAAAGATCAGTACTTTTTAAGTGGGGGGAGAAAGGTAAAGATTTACCTCTAGATGATGGTTTTGTAAGTTCCTCTGTGTCACTAAATAAACTTAAAACTTCATCATTTCAAATCTTTTTTCTTCAAGATCATTTGAGATATGCTAATGAGGTTTCCTAACTTTCTGAGTATATTTAACCAGAAGCTACTGTAGTTTCTGAAGTTCATGTTTAGGAGGTGAGAGTATATAAAATCAATCCTGTATGAGACTCTTTGTTTTCTATTACAGAGAGGCAGATCCTCACCTAACAGGAGTACTTCCTTCCAGAGATAGTGTAAAATAACGAAGAACAATTTAAAGCTTAGTAATCTCGTGTGGGTGTTATTTTTGTTGTAGAGAATTACAGAATTTTGAGCTTTCTGTAACGTAAGACTAGAAGTTGAGCAGCACTTGTAATTTTGAGTAGACATTTATAGGCCATTAGTTTAATAATTCACACCATAGAAAGACCCTCATAAATTGGTTGTGCTTATGTAGTATTTGCATCTTAAAATAGTGGAATTTTGTTTGTAGTTCATATATCAAATAAGCTTGAAAATTAGACATTGGCACAGGCATGGAGTTGTACAAGTTTTTCTATTTTTTTCATAGAACTTATTTTGAAGAAAAAGTAGGATTCTATCAAAAGCCTTGAAATAAAGACTTGAAGAAGAAAGCTAGACAACATTTTAGCATGTATTAGCCTATGCCAAAAAAGAGAGAACAAGAGGAATACGTTTTTGGGGAGCAGTTCACTTTTAAAAAGTACACAGAATTCTGTGAAAAATGAACTGTATACTAGGGGAGGCTATTTATTTTAGAATAAATTAAACTGAAGACAGACTTTTTTTAGCACTATCCTCTTAGCATCTTGCAAGTCTGCCTGATGGTTTGAGGAGATAGTCTTCTAACAGTGTTATCCAATGACCTGTGCTTTACTTCTGAACATTGATACCCAGCATTTATAACACTTTAAATTGTCCAGTTTTCTGAGTGAAAGTTTGTATACTTATGCTTAAATCTGTTGCTTCTTTATCTTAACACTATTTTAACCTGTTGCTAAGCTAACATAAGCAGGACAGATGCCTTTGTTTGCAAATATGTAGCATCTATAGGAATCATTGAATTTCCCAGCTTTAAAGAAACACCATTGTTTTCTTTGACTCAACTGTGTGGTTTAACAGTTGTTGCATTCCATGTTAAGCGTAAATTAACATCAGGAAGAATCTTTCTCCACAGTTCCTTTTAACATAAGTCCCAGGCTTCTGACAGCAGCTGAATGCTGAATTATTCAGCTTTGCTGTGCCTATTCGCTTACAACTTTTGTAATGGAACACTGTTCTTGGTTTTTAGGAAGTCTAGAAATGAGAGTCTCATTAATTGTGTGGTATTAAGAAATGATGATCGTAGAATATCTGAGTGAAGAGAACAGCGCGCCCTTTCTATCCAAAATACTGGTACTTACTTCAGTTATATACTGGATTAATGCATTTCACAGTAAACTGAATTTGCTAATGATAAAATGGCTTGCTTTTATTGGTATGCATTTTATTTAAAATACACATTTTATTGGTATATTTGAACCTTAGTCTCCTTTCTCTCTTTGAAGTGACTGTTAATAATCTTGTTTTGTTTTGCTTTTTTTGAGACAAAATCTCACTCAGGTTGGGTGGAGCTAGTGATCTCCTGCTTCAACCTTCTGAGCATACCATTCCCTATTATATCAACTGTTGGGAAGCTGAGAGTAGAAATAAAGCAGTAAGAAAGTGGCATCAGCCTTTGGTGAGCGGTTACTATGTATGCCCTTGTCTATTGACTGTCAGTTCATTTGCCGATTTTCTTAGAAAGTAACAGATTTATTCATTGTTTTATAGTTAGGGTTTGCTTTTTTATGTGAGATTTTATCCTACATAACAATGAAAAGAAAATAAAATATACCAAAAAGTTTCCTGAAATCATTCTAAAAGAATACTTCCCCAAACTCAACAAAAGTCTATTTTATATATAAGTATATTATCTATATATATTTTTCATTCCCCTTTAAATAGATAAGCCACATATCTTTGGAAGTTAAATTTTTTTCTTTTTAAAAAGAATTTCTCTCTGTTAGTTACCTTAGCTTTATAAAACATCAAAAGATAAAATTCTCCCCTCAACAGTCTTAAAAGGAGGAGGAAAATAAAGAGAACAGATCTCATGGTTCTCTAAGGCCAAAAGTTGTCTTCACTGAAATTAAAGTCAGAAGCAGTCCATCCACCCATCCATCCATCCATCCTCCCTTTTCTCCTGCTCTTCCTTTGCTTTTGAGATAGGGTCTCACAGTGTAGTGCAGT